GCCGTAAGTTTGCAGCATTATTCACGCTCAGTATTTTCATGAAAAATGTGTTGGGTTAGAATAGAATGTTATTATGAGGTGTGTTTAGGCCTGCTGCTGTCGTAGTCGATCAAATCAGCTCTTCATTTTATTTAAAAATGAATGAGTGTCTTCCAATTTGCATGTTCAAAATGGCTTGCACATTTATATTAATAATTGCTGTATGTGAGGTTTGTATCTTGAGAACAAATGCAAAAATGGATTAGCTTTTTCCCCACATCTATTTTCACAGATCTCACCCCCAACAGTCTTGCAAGCAGACATTCAAGAAGTTGCTCAGTTTTCCAAAGTTTTCTTTAACATGGCTTATTAACTATCCACTTGGCAGACTGCTGCTGAGTACTAGCCAATCATAGTGCAGGATGCAGGTTCCTAGATTCAGGAAGGCTTTGTCAGAGTATGGGTTAGATAAAAACACAGTAGGAGCTTCTCAAATCTGTTCATTTCCATGGTTACTGATGGATGGTTTTAAACTCATTTTAAAATAGAAGCAGTAACTGCACTGCTTGCAAAACACTCCCAAGTTAATTAGTGTAGTTCTTAGAACACAAAAGGCTTCAACGCTATTTCAAGGCTATGCTACTTGCCATAACTTACAATATATACAGTCAGGTCTGGAAGTATTTGGACAATGACAGAGTTTTTGTGATTTTGGGTTTATACACCACCACAATGGATTTGAAATAAAACAATCAAGATGTGATCGAAGTGTAGACTTTCAGCTTTATTTTAAGAGGTTCCACAAAAATATGGCATTTACCATTTAGGAATTACAGCCATTTTCAACAAAGTACCTCAATTTTCAGGAGCTCAAAGGTATTTGGACAATAATTGTAAATATAACCATAACTTTAATACTTGGATGAAAATCCTTTGCAGTCAATGACTGCCTGAAGTCTGGAGCCCATGTTCTCAAAACTCAAATTCTGAATTTCCTCCCTGGAGATGCTTTGCAAGGGGTTGAGATCAGGCGACTGACTTGGCCATTAAAGAATATTCCATTTCTTTGCCTTCAAAAAGGCTCGAGTTGCTTTCGCAGTATGTTATCTACCTGCACCGTGAAGCGGCATCCTATCAGTTTTCTAGCATTTAAATGTCAGTGTCAGCAGAGAGTATAGCCCTATACACCTCGGAATTCATTTTGCTACTTCTGTCTGCAGTCACATCATCAATAAACACCAGTGAGCCCGCTCCATTGGCAGCCATACATGCCCATGCCATAACACTTCTTCCACCATGTTTGATGCACGATGTGGTATACTTTGAATCATGAGCTGTTCCTTTCTTTCGCCATACTTTTCTCTTTCCATCATTTTGGTACAAGGTAATCTTCCAAAGAATCTTATTCCAGAACATGGGAGGCTTTTTTAGATGTTTTCTGGCAAAGTCTAATCTGGCTTTCCTGTTCTTGAATGTTACCAGTGGTTTGCACCTTGTTGTAAACCCTCTGTATTTACATTCATGAAGGCGTCTCTTGATTGTAGATTTTGACAATGATACACCTACCTTCTTCAGAGTATTCTTGACTTCTGTTGATGTTGTGAAGGGGTTTTTCTTCACCAAGGAAAGGATTCTGCGATCATCCACTTTAGTTGTCTTCCGTGGTCTTCCAGGCCTTTCAATGTTGTTGAGCTCACCAGTGCTTTCTTTCTTTTTAAGAATGTACCCAACTGTTGATTTGGCCACACCTAAGGTTTTTGCTATCTCTCTTATAGATTTACAGTATGTTGTTTTTTCAGCCTAATGATGGCCTCTTTCACTTGCAGTGAGAGCTCCTTGGACTTCATATTGGTAGCTCCAGTCGAACAGCCAAATGCCAACTCAATACCTGATATCAACTCCAGACCTTTTATCTGATTCATTTGTCTTGAAGTAATCAGGGAATGGACCACACCTGGTCAATTAACTTCTTGTCAGTCAATTGTCCAAATACCTGAGCCCCTGAAAATGGAAGTACTTTGCTTAAAATGACTGTAATTCCTAAATGGTAAATGCCATATTTTTGTGGAACCTCTTAAAATAAATAGATTGTTTTATTTCAAATCCATTGTGGTGGTGTATGAAGGCAAAATCGCAAAAACTCTGTCATTGTCCAAATACTTCCAGACCTGACTGTATATATAACTAGAACACTGTATTGAAAACCCACAACGATTTGTATCTCCAAATATAATAAGTTGATGTCAAACCAGGATAAAAAATAAGCATAACACAAAACACTGAGATGTAACCAACCAGTACATCTGAAATGCCTGATTGAAGGTAATATCCACTGCCCTGTGAAATGATAATATTTTTTTTACATCATCCACCCACTAACAGGGTACAGTGTAGACCAGGCAGGTCAGAGAGGTAGGAAGAAGTAAAGAAGATTCTCTATATAATAAGCAAAAGTAAAAGTGTCTTGGAAGGTATTCTTTGGCCCACTTTGGACCAAACTGTAACAACTAGGATTGTTACACAGGATTGAGAGTTTGAAGTCAGGAATATGCAATGAATTTTAATATGCTTAATAAAATACAATATGTGTAATATAGCTATGACAATACATGTCTGTTGTACCTAGATACTGTATATGTGTATGATTATTCATGATAATGTACAGTATAATCAGTGAACATATAAATGTGGCATAGGTCATTGTTGCCAGAAACAAAGAGCAGTGGGTTTAAGTTTGGGTCTTACAGGCTGCGCTATGGCTAAACCATTAAATTGTATTCATCCATCCTGTGTGCCTCAGACTGAGGGGAGGAGTGCTAGATTCAGAGTGGTGTCATCCATCTCCTAACCCACTGCTGGATAAATGCAGTGTGTATGATGAATGAGAAACATGTCCTTGTTGAAAATAAGAGCCAGTACAATGAGAGAATGATGGGGGAGGAGGTTATGTACCAGAGCTAAAGTGGTGGATCATGAGAAATTGGAATGCCATTGTGGTGTGTAAAATACTGAGCTTGTGTTTTGAAATGTATAGTGTCTATCAGAACTGATCACAAAAGGGAAACAATGTATGTTTTATTCTAAAGAGTGATCACTCCTAAAGAGTGGTTGAAGGTAACATTGAACTCTTCACCATTACAGAGAAATGAAGATGAAACACATCATCTGTTTCGAAACCCATGCTTGTTTACATTAGCAGCATTAAGTCATCATTTACAAACAACAGACATGGAGATCACAAATTTATCATTTTGAAATATGGTTGTTTGTTTCACAGACCGTCAGTTCTTGCTTTCAGAGTCATGCATTTTTTATTAATTTAAATATATAATATGCTTTTTTCTTGCATCTTTCTTTTGGAAACCCAGAGGAACAACTGCTACTTTAAACCCTATGGCTCTAACAGAGATACATTTTACCCACACATTTAAGTAAGACGTCTATTTTTTATTTTGTATGCTTACATTAAAAATGAACAGATTGCCATAGCTTGTTTGTTTGCTAAAATTAGCAGTGTAAAATCTTAGAAGTGGTAGCTTCCGAGAATGCGGTCCTGGGGTCTGGTCTGGTTGCACACTACTCAGCTGTATTCTGTCCAAAAGCATGTAATCCTCCTAAAAAACATATTTAGGTGTAAGTGCCATTTTAAATAAGCAAACTTCTCATAATAATGAACATGGAATTTTTATTGAATAGTGATTTGAGGTCTGTCAAATGATTTCACATTACACAGGCCTACTGCACCTCAATTTACACTCACCATCCACTTTATTAGGAACACCTGTACATCTGCTTATTTATGCAGTTATTAATCAGCCAATCATGTGACAGCAGCACAAAATCAGGCAGAAACAGGTCAAGAGCTTCAGATAATGTTCACATCAAACAGCAGAATGAAGAAAAAGTGTGCTTTCTGTGACACTGACTGTGTTGGTGCCAGATGGGCTGGTTTGAGTATTTCAGAAACTGCTGATCTCCTGGGAATTTCACACACAATAGTCTCTAGAGTTTACAGAATGGTGTGAAAAAAACAAAAACATCCTGCAGGCTGAAATACCTTGTTGATGAGAGAGATCAGAGGAGACTGGTTTGAGCTAACAGGATGTTTATAGTAACTCAAATAACTACTCTTTACAACTGTGGTGAGCAGAAAAACATCTCAGAATGCACAACACATTAAACCTTTGGGTGGATGGGCTACAACAGCAGAAAATCACATCTGGTTCCACTCCTGCCAGCCAAGAACAGGAATCTGAGCCTATCAGACTCAGGAAGAACAGGAATCTTGGGCGCAGACTCCTCCAACCTGGACAGCTGAAGACTGGAAAAGATCTGTTTACTGTTGTAAAGAGTGATTATATGAGTTACTATATCCTTCCTGGCAGCTCAAACTAATCTGTCAATTTTCCTGTGACCTCTCTTATCAACAAGGCGTCCAACAGAACTATCACTAACTCAGTGTTTTTTTTTTCTCTCACCACTCTGTGTAAACTCTAGAGACTGTTGTGTTTGAAAATCCCAGAATATCAGCAGTTTCTGAAATACTCAGAGCAGCCCATCTGGTACCAATATCCATGCCATGATTAAATTCAATAAGATCACATATTTTGTGATGTCTGATGTGAACATTAACTGAAGCTCTTGACCTGTATCTGCATGAATTTATTTGCATTGTGCTCCTGACACATGATTGGCTAATTCGATAACTGCGTAAATGAGCAGGTGTACAGGTGTTGCTATTAAAGTGGACAGTGAGTGTATATTGTAGTGCAATTAAAATATATATATAATCCATGTATAACATATAATGTAAAAACAGCCATAAAACTTAGAGTTGTTGTTTTTCCTCCTTCGGCTGCTCCCATTAGGGGTTGCCACAGCAGATCACTGGTCCGTGTATTTGATTTGGCACAGTTTTTATGCCGGATGCCCTTCCCGATGCAACCCTCCCCAGTTTTATCCAGGCTTGGGACCAGCACTGAGAGTGCACTGGTGCACGCAACTCCAGTGGCTGGGGATGGTTCCCAAGCCGGGAATCGAACGCGGGCCGCAGCAGTGAGAGCTTTGTGGCCTAACCACTAGTCCTCCAGGGACCCAGCCATAAACTTCCTATAAACTATTCCTATAGGAAATTATTTGCTGTATGTATTATATATTATTTTACAAAGATATTGAGGGCTAATTATTTCTATGTGTTTTTTAAAAAAAGCAAAATAGCAAAAGATGTACAGATTATGTGAGCTTATCTTTCTGTGTGTGGTGGGTAGCACAGTTTTGATTTGTTGTGTTTTATTGCATGCTTAGATTGTCAGAGCTTTCGAAGTCTGTCTAAGCTTCTCATATCACTTATCATAGCCACCAGCCAGTGTGATCTTAAGTCCTATATTATATCATGCTAGTGGAAAATTGTGAATCTGTGGCTCAAAGTTGAAGGGCCTTTATGCTTCAGTGTGTGGAATTGCTTTTTGCCTCTTTTGGTCCAAGTTCTGTTTACCCAAAAACATCAAAGCCCATAAAAGGCAAGCTAATTCATTTGAGGAGAAAAAAAAACTGACATCAACATGCAGGCAAAGTGAGAGAAAAAAACTTGGTAGATGACACTAACTGAAAATAGATGAAACGCTTCCTCTATCAAAGTTCTGGCACATCGTTCAGCCAAGAGCTTAATCAAAATCCATTTGGCATAGAGGCAGAAGACTCCAGCCCCTCAGACCAGAATTAAGGCTCTTTGGACTGCCCTGACTTAAGGCCACACATGCTGATGCCAGAACAACAGATGTGCGGCTTAGACTAAACACATGAAGTGGCTAGGCAATGGATTACCCAATGATTTGTCAATGTGGCATGGCAGGATGGCAGATAGCCATTGATTAGTTGAACTGTGCATTTCTGTTTTGGAGCATGTGTTTGTTTCATCATCTCAATGCTCATTAATTCACTAATCAAACACACAGGCTCCAGTCCTACAATCAGAGATGTGTTTTATCACATTCATTTATTCGCTATTAGTCTTGTACTCCTTGGCCTGAGCGAATGCGGTGAATGCATAATGAGCAGAATTGAATTAGTGCCAATCTAAGAGGTTGAAATGAAAGTTGTTTCAAGCTGATGAGCAAGACTCATCTTTAATTTTTTTTTTTTTGCATATTTTGCTCTATCATATTTCTCTAAACACATGTTCCATTCTAAAACTGACCAATTTTTTAAAAATAAAGTAATAGCAAATGTTGCTTGACATGTAAAAAAAACTAATTTAACTAAATTTCTACAGTATTTATGCACCATTGCCTATTAGCACAGACAGAGAAACTCATTGAACAGGGGTGTTCAAAATGTTCAGAGAATATATGGATGATAATAAGCTTTCTTGTTTCTTGTTTGTCAACATTTTATTTCAATTTAATTTAAGTCAAAAAACAGTAGGATTTTATATTTTATATTTTCATATTAGTTCATGACAGAAATGAACAATCAAACTAAACTGACAATTTAAGCACACACAATTTCCTCTGACCTCAGTAAAAATATTCATTTTACCAGTGGAAATCTCCTGTATTTGCTTTCTATTTTCTACCTTTTTCTATTTTCTATTTCAATAATTTAAATAGGGGGAAAAAAAGCATTCAGTCCAGAACCAGCAGGCTGAAAAACAGCTTCTACCTGCAGGCTATCAGAACCCTTAATAAACTGTAAATATTGTCTCTAAAATTGCACTATTATCCCCCTTCATATCATATCAAAGACTACAAAAAAAAAAAAAAAACCACATCATGTCTTTTTTGAATCTTGCATACTTTGCACAGCTACATTCACTACCTCAAAACAAAATCTCCACCTCATCCTTGCACCTGCGCACCTTTACTTTTTTATTGTTATTGTATTGTATTGTGAATCTGTTTGTAATCATTATTCTACATTTCTGTCTCTTAAATTTCTGTCTTGATTGCCCCTTTATTATTTATTTCTGTTGTTATTATTGTACTGCTGTAGACTGCCTAAGCCTCACAAAAAGCATTTCAATGTACATTGTCACTGACACTTGTATATATGACAAATAAACTTGAAACTTGAAAAATGACAGGAATTCAGAAGTTATTTTTTTAAACCGCTTTATCCCGGTCAGGATCCCGGTGGATCTGGAGACTATCCCGGGAACACTGGATGCAAGGCACGATTCACACACATTCACAAACTCATTCACACCTAGGTGCAGATTAGGTGCATATTTTTGGACAGTAGAGACAGAAACCAGGGAACCTAGAAAAAACCCATGGAAACATCGGGAGAACATTTGAAACTTTGTACAGACAGTAACTCAAGTTCATCGAAGATACTACATTTTAGATATTTTATCAAAGGAGGATGGTTATAATCTCTTCTTCTGATTGACAAAAGACATACTGTCTCACTTAACCTAATTTTCGGCAAGACATGGTTATAACTACAAGGTAAAATTATGTCACAGCTAACCTTTTCATGAATATCAGTGTTTGGTTCCATCCAGCGAACTGGTTAGCATATGTGAAGAGCATCAAAGGAGTAGCAAGAGAGACAGAATCAGTGCTAAGTACATTTGATTTAGCTTGATAGCAAAACATGTGAACACACACAAAAAGGAATTCATGCATTGTAAAAAAAAAAGAGGTTTTATGAGATTGATGAGCTGCAGCAGCACTCTTGCTTAACCTAGCATTTACTTTTGACAAATGTCCTGTTCCCAGCTGAATTAGAAGCTTTAATTTTGTCTGCGTCTGAGTTTAAATATTTGGGAGGGAGGAATTTTTTCTCTTCTTCAAATTTTTTTTTTGAAATGCATCAAGCATGATCTCTATTGAACAGTGTCGGGGCATCAATCAGTACTTCTGACAAAACTGCATCATTGTTTATTTTCAATTAATATAAAGTCCACATAATATAGAAAGTAGAAGCTTGGGGTTTCAATGCATTTGTATAGAATTAAATTGAGAAAGAGCCAAAAAAAAAAAAAAATGCAACAGGGCACGCGGGCTTGCAATTAACACATGACTAACAGTGTCACATAAGTTGAAATGCTCTTTAAAATAAATATGCTGTGTGTAACCCATATCTAAAACATTTCAGAAATATGTCTGGTGCTAAATCTCAAATTCTCAGAAATCAATAAAGAACATCCATCCATCCATCTATCCATCTATCTATCTATCTATCTATCTAAGATATAAAGATTGACTCTTAATGTCAAAATGCCACACCCAATGTAGCACAATATGTTGTTAAGAAAAAAGGTAGAAAAAAAAGTTGAGCAAAGAGAGATGAGAGACTGAGAACATGTGCATTCTCATAAACATGTATGATTTCTTTATTAATGTTATAGCAAAGAAGCTGTGGTATGAATTTATACTATTTCTGTCATCATTATAAAAGAACAGAAAAAAAACCCATGAAAAAATAGCCTTACTTTGAAGGAAATTGAGTTTGACATCCGGATATAATCTTAAAGTTTTCACACTGATAAACTGGTAATGTCTGCACCATGTGAGAAAAATAGTCAATTTTAATGAGCACAATGAACATTTATTTATTATTACCTGGTTATTATACTTTTTCTCTATTTAAAACCATTTTTAAATCCATTTGCTGATTACAATGCATCACATCATTTTATGAGCTCTCTAATTTCAATTTGTTGCTGTAGCTTAACAGGCCTTAAGCAGCATCTGCTGTCTTTAATGTTCAAGAATGAATGCACTTAATCCACCTGTCAACCCCTCGCTGTGTCACCATGGAAACTGACTCTCATCTCCGAGCCCAGTGACTATAGCAGCTTGAGACAGTATGGACCGAAGGACTGAGCTGTGGACTTAAAGGAACAGGAGAGGCAGATCAGAGAACATTGTCCTTTGGCAAATCCATCAGTCTGGCACTGTGAACAAAGTGAATTTAAATGTGACATTAGAGTTGGGGACCTCTGGCCACACTCATTTTCCAAAGAGTTCAAAGTGACCTGCTTTCGGAAAAGCATGCAATGTGGCTTGTAGGATGAAAAGCTCAGAACTTTCAGTGAGTTATACTTGATCAGTTATGCTCAGAGCTGGACAGACATATGAGCAGTGTGGACTTCATAGCAGAGGTTTCATAACTGCATATGACATGATAAGCAACATCAACTCCCAGGCTGCCAATGATAGTAGGAGTTCACACTTTTGGGCAGCTTGGGGTCATGTTTGAAACAAACTTATTTCAAAGGAATGCTCAGGAGTCAGTAATTATGCATTTATTGTATGTTCCCCTGTTCTGTGGCTGATTATTATGCACATACGACTGTGTGTCATTAAACAAGCTAAGTAGCAGTTTATTTTAAAGATATCATGCATTGTTAAAAAAAGAGGTTTTATGAGTATTTCATAAAACATGTATAAGCACTTGGCAACATTTATATAATAATGCATATGGACAGTTTCTATCAGCATTCTGAGATGAAATGACATGTTTTATAAAGTAATTGGATCTGTATTGATGTAAGAGAAAATAAGCATTTCATAAATTTTGAATACATATTGGTCTGTTGATTCTCTAACTAATCCTTACCCAGTTGCCCCTCCTTACCCAGTTACTTTTGGCAGATGGATTCCTTTAGACACAGTTGTGTATCTGCCATATTCTTTCCATTTTAATAATGGATTTAATGGTGCGTCACAGGATGGTTAAAGTTCTGGAAAAACTGATTGTGTGGAATGGTTTTGACAGCTCCTTGGTCTTCATGGTCTTTCAGGAACAGGTATATTTAGTATATTGAGGTCATGTGATATTTTGTGGACAGAAGTTCAAGGGGGTGAATACTTATTCAGAGCTTGTGGAACACTTCTATGAATGCTTCTGATGTCCTCAAATATGTTATTCAGTGCTTATGAATGTATTATAAAGTATGACCACAATACATTAGTTGCAGTTTGTGATCAGTTTCTGTGTGCCTATCTTGGGCTACTTGGGACTTGAGGTTTGGCATTTTGTACTCAGTTCTTGCTTAGGATTGGGTCAACTGCCACGACCATTTCTTTCTGCTATACCAGAGCTTCACTAGTACGTCAATAATTCTGTTTTTATACCTCAATAC